CCCTCCCCCAATTCTCCCCCCAACTTACTGGGAATACCCACCCCCCATCCCGAAGGAAGGTGATGATAAAAAAAGAGGAAGACATTTAGAAATTCAGCTTATTCTCCCTTTTTTGCTCCTTTGGTTAGTCTTCAGGGGGGTGCATTCGGAGATGGAGGGGGGGGTGTTGGACCAGTTTGGCCCCCCCCTTCCCTCAGGCCCCGAAACTTGACCCTTTTCTCATTTAAAAAAGCTCCTGGCGATTTTAAAAAGCTCTTAATGGGTTGACATTGTCCTGGCCTTTGGAAACCGATTAAGCAAATTGAGTGAACATTAGTTTGGGGGGGCTGCGGGGGTGGGCGACAAAGGAGAGCGGGGATTGACAACCCCCCCCAGCCCAACAGCATCCCAAACCTTCCCTGTCCGGAGATGGAAACTGACCGAAAAAATACAAACTGATTTTAGAGCTAGAAACTGATTTAAGCAATGTAAACCGATTTTAGAGATTTAAACTGATTTAAAAATAGAAATAATTTTGAGTCAAAAGAAACAGATTTTAGAGATGAGACTGATTTTTGAGGTGTAAACTGGTTTTAGAGATAGGAACCAATTTTTTTTTGAGGGGTAAATCGATTTTGAGATATAAACCGATTTTGAGCTATAAACCTATTTTAAAAGTATAAACTGATTTGGAAAATATGAACAAGGTTTAGAGGTAGGAACTGATTTAAAAATGTCAGTTTTGAGATATAAACTGATTTCAAAAGTATAAACAAGGGTTATAGATAGAAAGTAATTTGAGAGATAGAACTCGATTGTGAGTTGTAAACGTACAGACCAGAACTATAAACTGATTTGAGAGATAGTGATTTTGTGCCCATCACCTCACCCTGCCTCAGTTTCTCCTCCCACTATCCCTGATGCTCCTCTGCCTGCTCCGGGTGGGATCAAACCGTGTTTTCATATGGAATATATGTGGGATGGCAAAAGTTTTCACACTTCAAAAGGCTTTAAATTGGGGGGGATTCTGGTTTCTGGTGACATCACACATCGAGTTCTCTTTGTGTTGGGAATTTTCTTCGTTTGGCTTTACTGGGAGCAACTGGTGTGAGTGTAAATCCCAGCTGGGGAGGATGGGGAGGGGATCAATGTCTCTGGGTTTGGCCGGGTGAATATATTCCACGTTTGTCACTTTGGGTGTTGGTGGGGATTGGAGCTTCTGTGTCGCTGGCCCCATCCCAAGTGAGGAGTAAGGAATAATCATCATGAGGAATAATGAGGAATAAGGAATAATGAGGAGGATTTGGGATTTGGAGAAAATGGCCACTAACGAGGGGTTAATGAATCCCAGAAGGAGGATTAATTAAAAGGGGCCAGAAGAGGAGGAGCTGGTGCTACATCCCAGTGTTGACCCCAGGCTGGAAGTGGGGATGTGATCGGGGCTGGATCCTGTGGGATCTGGGGGGCTTGTGAGGGCACGTCGGGTCTGAGTGTGGCAGCTCTTGGAGCTGGATCCCATGGAAGCTCCACTGGATCCTGGAACCACTTGTTCACTGAAAGCACTGGAGCTCAGCACTGAGCAGGAGCCACCCACCTGCCACCTGTTCCTACTGGAGTGACACAGGGATCCCCTGGATCCCAGTGCATCAGCTGCTGGTGAGACTGGCCCAGCTCCAGCCTGCAGGAGCCTCCTGGATTGGATCCAGCTGGGAGCAGCATCCTGGATCCCAAACCGGACCAGCACCATCAAGCACATCCTGCCCCCATCCCAGAGGCTCCGGGTCTGTTCCCGGCAGGAGCTGCACCTGCTGGGGGGCACCACCCCCTCCACCCCAGGAGCTTCTATCTCCAATTTCCACCCATTTTGCCCCCCAACAGCTGCAGAAAATGAGCTGATCCAGGGGCTCCAGCCATCTCGGTGACTGCAGCACCTTTGCCATCTGGGATCTGCAGATCAAACAGGCACATTTGGGAGGAAAAACCCCCAAATCCAAATAATTCCTGGGAAATGCTCCTTGGGGCGGGACAGGGTGGGCTGGATGTGCCCGTGGGTGCGGATGTTGGACCCTGTGATGGTGAAACTTTTGTCTTGGAGCCAGGAGTGGGCAAGCTGGAGCTTCTACATCTTTCTCTGCTCCCAAATATTTAGACATCTGGAAAATAATTAAAAATCTGGAAAACATTTTTCACCTGCCTTCGTGCATCCCGAGCCGGGCAGATCA